TTTAAAAACATATCTATGTGGTAAAATATATATATCGTATTGATCTTTTTTTAATTTTTAATAAAGAGTATAACAAGAAAAAGATAAAGAATGGTCCGTATAAGAAACGCGAATGTTGTCAAAATTTACGCGGTTTTACCTAGATATAAAATATATGAAAAATCAATAGGAGCAACTGGAAACCTTTCGTTTTACTTATTCGCGTATCTTTACTTATAATATAATTCCTTGAACGTGAGAATTCGGGGTTTTGGTCTGTTAAACAGATACGTCCTTCGATTGATGTCTCAAAAAAATTATTACCTGTTCTCAGGTGATGCGCAAGGTGTATTGTGCAAGATGACTTCTTAAATTGCACGTACGTGACCAAAATAAAGAACGCGTGCAAAGGAGAAAACAATAAAAACAACACGATATAACTATAAGAACTTTAACCTCTTGAATAGAGAGGTCGAGACCCTTCCAAACCCTATCAATCCTTTGCTATGTTTATAATATTATAAATATTATTTACAACATTGTTATATTTATGCACCATTGTTATATTTTTCGGATTGTTTTACAAGATACGTTTAATGCCCACTATATACCCGAAATTGGTGGGATTATTCGATGTGTTCAGGGCTTGCTATTGGGACTTCCAATAATGAGTTTCTTGTGTAAAGAAAAAATTTTTCGATTTTTCGGTTCCCAGCTCCCACACAGCACACTTTATCAGAGGGACGTCCTACAGATAAAGTGGGATATATCTCAATAACCGGTGGATATCCAGTGGATATTTAATATCCGGTGGATATCCAGCGGATGCACAAATGTCCCTCAAAATATCCTGTGCTGTGTGGGCTGATGCAAAAATGCACCATTGATGGCAAGATTTCTTGCAGGTAAATCTATTTGACCAGTCGATTTGGTATGGTTTATATTAGTTTGGTCTTCGGACAAGATTTTAACGAGCATATAATTTTTTAAATTATTTCGAACATTTCTAATACTTGTTATTAAAAAGGTATTATAATTTAGTTTTGAACCTTTTTCACCTGGTCACCACGCACAGGTGCTACTTTGACCATGGCACACAAAATATATTGTCGCGAGAGTTCAAAACTTTATTTTCAGACCACAAAAGATCGACATTCTCAAATTTATCTCATCTAAAACAATTTTTCATAGTTGGTGTAAAAATGCACCAGGGCCAACAATTTATAGTTTAATATCATTGCGATACTCTCGCTTTAAATTTATTTTAATTAAAAAATATTGAAACTATGTATATCCGCAATAAAAATGTGATCAAACTTTAATGTACGCTAATAAAATTCCGTATTAATGAGATCACGAATAAAACTTGCCCCTACTTGCCCCTTTAATATCACATAAAATTCACTATGGGCGGTATTCATAGTCGGATCTTATTTTAAGACCGTCTTAAGTAATATTACTTAAGACATATGTCTTAAGTTGCTAATACGGTTATTTGATTGGCTGGACGGAGTCTTAAGACTGCTTTAGACCAGACTTAAGACGATCTTAGATATAAGATCCGACTATGAATACCGCCGTATGATCCTCCGTATTATATGAAAGAGACCATGCGAGCTGCATTTAGTGAATTATTATACGGATTTTCATTGAATAACTGTCGAACACGCGCAATCAGGAAGACAATCGATCCTGCCGAACTCCGACATTCGTCGGCGTTTTCCCTTCCCAGTTATGAAATTTAAAAGAAGGGCGGCGAGGATTTGCAACGATGCGTTCCGCGACGCGAAAGATGTGCGAAGGGTCGCGGCCAGTAAATTCACTCGGCATTCATCCCCCGTGTATCTCGACGTGCGCAAGAACGTTAAAAACGAATGCGAAATGGTGAGGATACTCGCGCGACGGCAGCAGCAAATAACGGAAGCAGCGAACGGCAGCGCGGAAGAGGAAGACAGACAATCGGGCCGGAGACAAGGATGGAGAGGGAGAAACTCTCGTCGAAGAGAGTCCACATTACCACGGGAGTGGAGGGGTGCACAGATGCCACGTGGGAGTGGCCGAGGAGCCGGAGGCTGCACCAATGGGACGCGAGAGGCGTTATCTCGGCACACATAGCTACTCTCCTCCAACATAGTACATACATAGACGGAAGTAGCTGTGTGCGTAGACATCCACGGAAGTACCTCACACGTACGGCATGACCGAAGAGGGAACGATGACGAGAGCGAGAGGAGGACGAGGATCTCGCGGAAGCGCCGAGCGAGAGGGAGGGAGATCTCTTATCTGCTCCGCGCTACACAGATGCCCGAGTAAATAAATAATAAATTACAGAAGATACATGGAAAGTGACAACTGATGTACACATTCATTAATAACTCTATCAATGAGAGGGGTAGCTGATGATGACTGGATAGGTCGATAGGTCCACACGGTTCGGTTCCACAGCAACGTGTGTTACATCAAGCCGGACCGGTGACGCAAGAGAGTGAGAGAGAAAGAGAGAGAGAGGGTGGGAGAAAAGGAAGGGAGATGAGCGAAGGTGCGAGGAGGACAGCGAAGGCGGGAGCTGCGGATCGGCCGCCTCGCGGGCTGTTGGTCCATGATAGGCGAAAGAGGGTAGGGAGTCCAGCGTGCACGGTGCATCCAGTTATACGGCCAAATACGCGCGACGCTGTGTAAATGGTGCACACGTGCGAACTGCGACGCGGCCAGCCTGATGAATTGATCGCGTAAGGTGCGCGCGGATTCGACGTCCCCCAAAACCCCGAGATCGAAGGAACGCGCCGCGCCGCGTCTGACGGCGTGCCCGACGACGATCTCGGAGTATCGGGTGTACGCGGGCAGGCCGGGAAAAGGGTGCCGGCTGCTCGTCGCGGAACAGCGTTCGATCTCTCGCTGAGAGGAGAAGAAATCACGTCGCGAGCACGGCTGATTCGCGATTGCTCGGGATGACGTGTCCGAGGAGAGACGTGATCGTCGCGGGGGGAGTGTGACTGTTTGATCATCGCGAAGTGCATGGCGAGTATCGTATGTTCTTGAGGGAAAAGCGGGGAAAAAACTCTGCTGGGAAGCGATGGGCGACCGCGTACGAGTTGCGCGAGATGCGAGTTTACCTCGAGATGCCGAATTCATTTTAGCGTGACCGGGAGAGGGATTAATCGCGGCTGTATCGAGTTGCATGGCGATATTCCGAACGAGAAACGGGAGACGGAGATTGCAGAGTCGGCAGAGTGACTAACGTTTTAATTTTGCGCCAAGTCGGAGATTCGGCGCGCATTCGCGTATGATTAAAAGAGACCTAATTGTTTTTGTTGTTAACTATGCCGTGAATTATGGGACGAGAGTTCGGTAATCTCGAGAGGGAGAGAAAAAGCGAGAGGCGGCTGCGGAGGATCGTGCGTGTTCCCAGAAATGACGGACGCTTTGATTACGATCGCGAATTAAGACAATGCGATTAGGTGCCATTTAAAAAAGTGATTTTCCTGTTTATTGAACTATTTATAACTTCGATGTGAGTTGTAGTTTGATTAACTGTTTAATGAGGTGTTTGGGATTACGGACTGCTCCTCAGATTCTGAAAACGGAAAAATAATGAACAAACGGACTTTGAGAGTGCGATCGGTTTAATTCTGACACGAGCGTTTTGCAAAAAGAAATTCCACGCTAATTGACAATCAACGTGTTCGGTGCGTTTCGGTGTGTTTCGCTGGAACAGATGATTTGAATAGAAGTAATTTGTTGATATTAGTATTTGTCAGGAAATAGATAAAAGTGAGATAAAAATCAGGACATAAAAAAAGATATATTTCGTACTTATTTCAATCGTTGAATAGAATAAAACAAAAAGGAGAGATTAATTTAAATGATAGTGACACAATACAGCGATTTTAACGGAGATGATGTTTATACGTGAGTCAATAGTAGTGAAAATGTACAGCGAAAAATTTTTAAGTAAGAAGTAAGTGAAAGATTCCTTCAAAATAGAATTTTGAAACAAGCTTAAGATGTTCATTGCTAATGCAAAAATTCATGCCGTTTAACCGTGCAATAATAACAAATAAATCGTGACTTAGTGCAATAATAACGAATAGATTACTTTGTAATATTTTTCACAAACGCGAATGTAAAGCCGGACATGCATCACAATTACCGCAATAGAAAGGCTTAAATGTACCATGAGAGATTAGAATTATTAATAGCTGTGGCTAAAGTAATTCAGTCAACGATTGACGATCTGTCTCAACGAATCGACGAGTCTCAAAATCGTGCAGCAATACGAGTGAGGAGGGTGGCGAATCATGCCGGGAACGGCGAAGAAATTCGAGGCGTCGCTGGAAATGTGTCAAGTACCGTCGGCCTGATAAAAGTGCGCGTCTCCGGGGAAGTCGAGCGAAATCAGAGGGAGCCTGCCCTGAGGGAGATTAATTGGTTCCACCCACTGTTCCCCCTGCGGGCCC